AGGTTTATAATTCATCCTGGCCTGGGGCAGGTTTTGTGGCCTCCCCTTGCATGCTTCCTCCTCCCCTGTGCCCCCACCCTGCAGCCACCATCTGCTCATCCCACCTCCTGGCCTCCCACCTGCAGCCCTGCCCCTACCTGCCCACTTCCAAGTTCCCCTATCCCCAGGTTAAGCCCGGCTTGTGTTTCTCATTCTTGTGCTTCCTTTGCCTAGCCCTAAGGCCTGACGCCCCAGTCCCACCTCCCCTTGCATGCTTCCTCCTCCCCTGTGCCCCCACCCTGCAGCCACCATCTGCTCATCCCACCTCCTGGCCTCCCACCTGCAGCCCTGCCCCTACCTGCCCACTTCCAAGTTCCCCTATCCCCAGGTTAAGCCCGGCTTGTGTTTCTCATTCTTGTGCTTCCTTTGCCTAGCCCTAAGGCCTGACGCCCCAGTCCCATGGTGCTGTGCACACATGGCAATGAGCCAATCCCAGCTCCAAAGAGCTTAGGGATGGATTTTCAAAAGAATTCAGCTCTCCTGTAGGCATCCGAATCAGTGGAGGTTCTGGGCACCTTTGAAAATCTGGCCCTTACTAGAGTAAAAGGGCAAGAGGCAACCAGTGAACACAGAAACTGTGCAACCTGGACACCTCCTTACTGTTACCTCCTCTTTAGTCAGCGCTTCTTTAACTGTGATTCTCCAGAAAGAAGGTAAACCAGATTCAAATCTGAGTACCGGTAGGGCCTGCAGCTCCCCAAAAAAATGACTTCATCAGTGTGCTTTCCAATGATTTTCTCCTTTAAAAAAAAAAGAGTTTGAAATTAGCTTCAGTCCAGAGCTCCCTACCAGTTTTTGCAGCTTCAAATTGCATTTCTGAGCACGTAAAGCATTTTTATCTCCTGTGTTGCTGTTTGGCAACTATCATGCAAGCAGCAAAACTGACTCCACAGGAAGAAAAGAGATGGGGGAGGCAGTTGAGTTTGTTTTGCAGTTTGTTTATTTAGTGCACAGTTGTGCCTTGAGCTTGTGACCACATGGGCACAGAGGAAATAGTGGTTTGCATGTTACAAATCTGTATTTTTCTTATGCTTGTAGGCCCACATTCTGTGAATGTTTTGGTCTCTTAACACACTTCTAATTATTTCGTTCCTTGAAATATTTGCACTTGCTTTTGTAAATAAATGACCTGAATGTGCTCTGGCGTGTGAGGTGTGGGAAGCAGGGCGATTGGTTCACTTTATGCCCCAAGTAACGCTATGTGAGGCCTGGAGGTCAGATAGGCAGAGTTCCCATTTTCTCATGGTCCTAAGGGTGAAATTTAGCAAGGGCCCAGAGTCATGTGACTAATGAAGCAATGTTTTGCCACCTCCCTTAGCATTTCTGTATGTCTGTCTTCCTCTTGCTCTGAAACAGGTGGCATAAACACTTTGTCCCGAGGGGGCAGCGGGCGGGCATGAAGTGCCCTAAGTGCAACTACGTGTCTCAAGATGCTTCTCCCAACTTCTGCAGCCACTGTGGGTTGCAACTGGCCCCGCCCATCAGCACACAAGTACAGGACAGAGGTAGGTGGATGGGGGCCGCTTGGGTTTATTGCCCCGCTGACGGTAGGCTATTGCAAAGAAAGAGGCAACGTTATTTGAAGAGCCCTGCGCAGATACAAATTTTGTATCTGCAGCTGGAAAACGGAGCTACACAGTGTGCAGTGGCGGTCAAAAAGGCAAATAGGATGCTAGGAATTATTAAGAAAAGGATAGAAAATAAGACCCAGAATATCTTACTGCCCCTGTAAAACTATGGTACGTCCACATCTTGAGTACTGTGTGCAGATGTGATCTCCTTGGAAAGGGTTCAGAAAAGGGCAACTAAAATGATTAGGGGTTTGAAACGGGTCCCATATGAAGAGAGGCTAAAGTGACTGGGACTTTTCAGTTTAGAAAAGAGGAGACTGAGGGGGGGGATAGAGGTCTATAAAATCATGAGTGGTGTGGAGAGGGTGGATAAAGAAAAGTTATTTATTCCCATAATAGAAGAACTAGAGGACACCAAATGAAATTAATGGGGAGCAGGTTTAAAACGAATAAAAGAAAGTTCTTCTTCACACAGCGCATAGTCAACCTGTGGAACTCCTTGCCAGAGGAGGCTGTGAAGGTTAGAACTAAACACAGTTTAAAGAGAAGCTAGATAAATTCTTGGAGGTTAGGTCCATAAAAGGCTATCGGGGTAGGAATGGTGTCCCTGGCCTCTGTTTGTCAGACGCCCGAGAGGGTTGGCACGAGACAAATCGCTTGATCATTGTCTTCGGACCATCCTCTGTGGGGCACATGGATCTGGCCACTGTTGGCAGACAGGATCCTGGGCTAGATGGACCTTTGGTCTGACCCAGTACGGCCTGTCTGGATGCAGAGACCCACAGCTCTAAAGCGGATAGCCGCAGATTTGCAGGGCTCCAGTTGTGTGATGTGTGCACGTGACGTGCGATGGTACTCAAGCAGGAGAGGCGCTCGGTGCTGGCTGTCGCCTGGACCCCCCCCCCGTCAGACATTGCCCATGTAATCCTGTAACCCCATGGCTGGGGGAGCACAGATGTACGGGGGTGGGAAAGAGAACGTGTGCTCGGGCCTAGCTACTTGGAGGCCTCGTAGCCAGGAGGCAGGGCAGGAGGGATCACTGGGCTCCTACTGGAAGAACCTGGCTGTGGTCCTGGCCCCACAGCAAGAGAAGAACAGAGTGGGGCGGTCAGGGTAGGGCAGCGGTTTTCAAACAAGGGGTCGTGACCCGGCACTGGGGCCTGGGATGTCGGGCCCTGGGGGTGCTCGGGCCTAGCTACTTGGAGGCCTCGTAGCCAGGAGGCAGGGCAGGAGGGATCACTGGGCTCCTACTGGAAGAACCTGGCTGTGGTCCTGGCCCCACAGCAAGAGAAGAACAGAGTGGGGCGGTCAGGGTAGGGCAGCGGTTTTCAAACAAGGGGTCGTGACCCGGCACTGGGGCCTGGGATGTCGGGCCCTGGGGCTCTGTGCTGCAGGGGGATCAGGTGAGCAATGGAAGTTCTGGGCACCTTTGAGGGGGGAAATGATAGAGGTCTAAGGCAGCTCCCTGTCTGTCCTGCACCACAGGCTGCCCTGCGCCCCAGAAGTGGTCGGCAGCAGGCCTGGCTCCTGGGTGGGAGTGATTGGCGGGGGGGACACAGGGCTTGGTGCACTGCCCCTACCCTGAGCACTCGCTCTGCACTCCCATGGGCTGGGAACGTGCTTCTGGAGGCAGCCTGGTCTGCGGTGCCAGGGGAGGCAGGAAGCTGCCTTAGCCCCACCGCTGACCAGGAACTGCTCAAGGTCAGCCCCTCCTGCCCCAGCCCTGACTCCTCTCCTCGCCCCCTGCTACACCCAAAGCTCTGATCCCCAGCCCCTGGAGCCCACCCTCTACTCCCATTGTGTTGGGTTGCAGCGTCAACAATTGTCTTCAGCTGGATCATGGGAAAAAAGTTTGAAAACCACTGCTTTACTGATAGGTGCTGTAACAAGCAGGTGTGGAGGGAAGGGGGATTGAGATTATACTATAGTAGCCACCAGCTGAAGAAAGATATCTATAGCTATAATTAAAACATTCTCCAGTTATTATGGACTGTTGCTTAATGTTCTATTGTTCCACTGACAGCATAATTTTTAATATGTCATTTTATGCTATGCTGTAGATCATCATTATCCTGCCTCCCTTAGAGTCTTGGCTATTTATTTGTTTTCACAAGCTAACATATGCATATGTGCTTCTCTTGGACAACGGTGATGATGTAACCCTTCCTCACTCAGTTCGTTCCCCCTTTGTTTCTTAAGCCTTTTCCTCCTCTTGTCAGGTTGCAGCAGTAAGGAGTCTGAGGCTACATCTAGAATGCAGGCTTCTTTTGGACAACAAGTGACCAGGCATGGGGGGGAGGGGAGACAAGGCCAGGAACTGGGAGGACTTGTAGAGACAGAAAGAACAAAGATAGTGATAGAAATGTAGCCGTGTTAGTCTGGGGTAGTTGAAGCAAAATGCAGGACAATGTAGCACTTTAAAGACTAACAAGATGGTTTATTAGATGATGAGCTTTCGTGGGCCAGACCCACTTCCTCAGATCAAATAGTCTATTTGATCAAATAGTCAAATAGATCAAATAGTCTATTTGATCAAATAGTCTATTTGATCTGAGGAAGTGGGTCTGGCCCACGAAAGCTCATCATCTAATAAACCATCTTGTTAGTCTTTAAAGTGCTACATTGTCCTGCATTTTGCTTATAGTCACCTGAGTTAAATGGACACCTGGAGAGGTTGGACTGTCCCGGGGTGGTGCGGTTGCATCCTGAGTCTGTGTGTGTTGGGGTAGGGGTGGGCAGCAGGCTGTGTCAGGCACGGGAGTTTGTGGAATGCCTGCTGGAGCTCCTGGCCTGGGTCGGCCCCTGGGCTGGACGAACGTGTCCTGCTGTAAATCATGGTGTTTGTGTTTGTTACAAAATGGGATGAGCGTGCTTGTTCCCAGGGTGACTTATCCGCGCAGGAGAAAGGGGGGCGCAATTGGGAATCCCAACCCTGGGAATCCCCCACCTGACAGTGGATCGGATGCAAATCAGGTGGCCTGCCCTGTGTCTGCCTTAGAGACGCCATTCTTCTTGGGTTTCGTTTTTATGGCAGTAGCCCCCCGAAACACGTCGTGTTGGGCACTGCGCGAGGCTAAGGGTTATTTTAAAACTGGGGTTTGGGGCTTTCCTGCTTTGTGGTGATGGATAAAGGAGGCTTGAGAGCAGAACTGGCCCATCCATAGGATGGTTCGGGGCAACCGCACTGCAGCCCGTGTTTTGGGGGGGCTGCTGGCGCCCCAGCCAGTCTGTGGGATAAGTGGAGGGCATGGCGCTGGCAGCAGGGGTCAGGCCTGGCCCCACACTTGCCAGCAGCGGCAGGAAGTGGAGTGACCGGATCCCGGCCTGCTCTGCCAACTCCCAGCCACGTTGCTTGGGGAGGGGGCTTGAAAGAAGTAGTGGAGCTGTGGGCGGTGGGTGAAGGTAGGTCTGGAGGAGCCAAACCCCTCCCTTCACCCCCAACCCTGCCCCTTCTGCCCAGGCCACACCCCCAGCACCACAGGGAGGTGGGGTGGTGCATGGGCACAGGGAGGGCGGGCACTCCGCCCCCAGTAGACCTATGGCAGGCGTGTGGGCAGGGTCAGACTGGTAGTTTGGGAAGGCAACGCTTCCCTGTGACGGCGCGTTGGGGGTCCCCCGTCTCCTGCCCCCCGAAATGACACAAACAGACTCCCCCAGCCAGTGGAATTGAGGGTGGTTTATTGCTCCTCCAGGATACAGCGCAGCACAGATGTAATCTGGTTACAGGAACTGGGGCTAAGAGGCCTCAGTGCCCCCCTTGAGATAGGGGAGTCCCAGCCCCCTCCCCAGCTCCTTCTCCCCTGCTTCCAGCCAGGAACTCACTAACTCTCTTCCAGCCCTGCCCCCCAGCCAGGGCAGCATCCACCTTCCTTTGTTCCTCTCCATGGGGGGGGTCTGGTTCAACAAGTTTGGCACTACCTTTGCATAGTGAGGTTTTCCCTGCTGGGTCTTGCTCCAGACAGCAGGGGTCACCACAGCCCAGCAAGTACCCCCACCATGTCACACTCCCCCTGCCTAGCACAGCCAGCGCCCCTGCGTGGAGCTATGCGGCAGGGTGTGCTAGGTGGGGGGAGGCGGTGCCTTCCCACACTGCCGGTCTGGCCCCGCCCACGCTCCCATGGTGGCGGGAAGTGGAGTGTCACGGCGGGCAGAGTGGAGCAGGCTGTGCGGACAGGTTGCTCCACTTCCCCCTACGGTCAGCGAGAGGGAGCAGGCCCAGCGTCAGACCCCTGCTATGCTGGGGAGGAGGCTTGTGGGGCGGAGCAGAGTCAGAAAGAGAGAGGGGTGGGATCTGGGGCAGAGGGCGGGGGGGGGGCGGCGCCTGTTTGAAAGGTTCAGAGTCCCCTTCCCCCCAAAAAAGCTTCCTTTTCCAAAGGTTAAATAATCACTGAAGTTCAATAGGCACCAACACAACACCCGCTATTTTGAGCAGCTTGATGGAAAATCCCTTCTCTTTCAATTGCTCAGTGTCTAGTCCTAGCAAATGTATCTTGGCTCTGCACCGGTTGCTTCTTTGCTCTCCGAGTGTAATAGTAATGGGTTTAGTTCAGGCCTGAGCCAAATGGCTTTGTGACTGTTCCCTCCCCCCATGCTGTATGACACTGTCCAGTTATACAAATACAGATAACTCAAAGGTGCTCTGGACAAAAGACCTCACGTAAGCCATCAATTGTAATATCTCAGTCGGCTGGATCCGTAGTGCTTATTTTGGTGTATGAGTATGAATCAGCTTACTGGCTGTAAATAGCCTTGTTTTGTCTCAAGTTTGAGCAGTGGTTGTGGAGAGACATGTGATCTTGCCTGTTTGTACTGGGATAGCAGTTTAAGCAGTACAACCGGTTCTGGACATCCAACACTCGGTCATCTGAAGAAGTGGGCTGTGCCCACAAAAGCTCCTGATCCCATCTCCATGTTTTGTTAGTCTTTAAAGTGCTACCAGACTATTTGTTGTTTTTCAGTTTAACCTGGTAATTTTCCAGGGAAGGGGGGGAGGGATGGAGAACAAAAGGAAATCTATGTAAGCTGGAAAGCCCTCAGTATCTTTGCTTTGGCTGGCCTGACGTGCCTGAAAGGATAGCGGGGAGGGGGACCCCAGTCAGAGTAAAAGATCTGATCCAGGCAAACCTTCAAGTGGCAGAAGAACAGTTTAGGGAGTTTGCCATCAGCGTGAGCGCGTTAGCACTAGCTGGGCAGGGTTTGCTTTTCTTTTCTTTTCATTCTGTAACTTAGTTTGATCTGCCTGTTTTCACTTGCAGCTGCTTAGATCCGACTGTTTGCACTTAATACAAATGCTTGTATTGACTGTCAGCTGGGAGTAAGTAATTGTTCCCTGGGGGAGCCATCAGCGTGCACCTCCTCCTCCCATTGTTCAAGAGGGCTTGTCTGAATGGGCTTTCAAGGTGTGAAACTCTCACCCAGTGGCAGACGGATTTCTTTGCGGGTTGGTTTCCTGGCTGCTGCGCCTTTGAACTGCATTCCCCCAGAGCTCAAATGGTTCAGTGTCTGTATCGCTCCTGGGGGAGGGGGAAGCAGCTATCTCAGCTGTGTCTTGGCTAGGGGAGACCAGGGGAGCTGGCCCAGCAGGACAGGGTGGGGAGAAGCCCCAAGAGAGGGAAGGCGGGTGTCCGTGGCTCTGTCAGCACACCAGAAACAGTCCCAAGGGGTCTCCTGTGTCGTCGTCTCCCCCAGGCTTGTCAGTGTTTTCAATCTGATATTTCTGCTTAAGGTGGTTTAGACGTTGTCCTTGCACTTGGAGAATAAAAACAATCCAGCATATGGTTTGTGAATTCTATGGAGCAAATAAACAGGCTGTTTCCCACCACAGGACACAATTTAACAATTAGGTGGAGATTAGACAAGTGAATCAAGGAATCAACAGCATAAATTAGCGTCAGGAATTCAGAAAGAGAGTAGATTGAACCACTTGTTCATTTATCCTGGACGTTTTGCCATTTGAGCTGCTCACACCCCTCAGCAGTGGGGCTCACAGCTGCTGGGGCAAGGTGGGAGGGGGGCCGGGCTCCCTGGGGCCTACGGCAGTGAGCCCTTAGTGCTGCCAGAACTGCACTGCTGCATCCCCAGCCCTCAAAGCCACATGGAGTGGAAGGCGGCTCGGAAGAGTTTTCTTGAAGGGTGTGTCTGAGCCCCTCACCTGCCCACAGATTTGGTTTCATTGCCAAGCAAGGGATGTTTCACTGTATGTTTCTCATGGACTTTCCCTGGCCTGTGCTTCCTGTCACCGATTTGGAGCTGCCCCGTGAACGTGTCCAGATACCGTCTGCTCACCTGGTCACTGCGGTGTCTGTTGGAGGAATATATTCATGCCACTCAATGGGGGGATGTGGAGAAGGGTGGCCGAGGAAGGATGGCCACCTGTCAGCCAGCACTTGCGTCATTGAGGGGCAAGGCTGGAACTATGAGCTTTAAGGTGTCGCCAGCCCTGCGACTGCGGGGCTTTTTATGGAGGAGGGGATGCTTCGAGGGGCGGGCCTGGGAGCTGAAATGCTGCATCCTTTTCAGGACCAGCCCCCTCCAACCTCCTTTTTTCCAGCATTGAGTTCAACCGCTTGTGCCGTGGTGTTAAGGTGACACAAGCAGCCTCCGAGTGGGGCTCCCAATTCAGTTGTTTTCATGAGCCTGTCTCACTTGTCTTAATCTTCCTAGAATCCTAGCACACTGGGTCTCCGAGTGGGGCTCCCAATTCATTCATTTTCATGGGCCTGTCTCACTTGTCTTAATCTTCCTAGAATCCTAGCACACTGGACCTGGGAGGGACCTCGAGAGGCCGCTCCCCTGAACTTGGTTTCCAGCTGAGAATTGCTCCTTTCCCTGCTGAAGCATTTTCCAGTGAGCCCTTCAGAAAGGGCTGAAGCATTGAATCAGAATTTACGATTTCCCTCCTTCCTTCTCCCGCTCCACTTGGTCTCTCCCCCTTGTTTCCTGAGCCTACAATTGAGAGAGGGTTTTGTCTCCATTGTAGGAGGCGAAGATGTAACGCCCGTTCCTGTGCCTGAGGGGGACGTGGATGGTGGCAGAGAACTCAAGGTAGATGGTGCCCCCTCGGTGCCAGCCGCTGATGGACAACCACTGCCCGAAGGGGCGCAGGGGAAGCCAGGAGAGTTGCTGTCAGAGAGCCTGGGGAGTCAGACGGGTGCGTCAAAGAAGAAAGTGAGTATCTCTGAATGTGCTGGTGCGGACTGTGCACTGTGCAGAGACCTTGGGGATTCTACACATTTCCCTGCAGTGCTGAATTGGGTAAGGCCACGAGGTGCCGAGTAACGTGAATCAAGCAAATAACATCTCTGCTTTCTCTGTCGCTCTCAGAAAGGGGTGACTGTCACTAATGCCTTTTGCTTATGGTCTGGACCAGCGGTGGGCAACCTGCGGCCCAAGGGGTCTCTGTTCGTCCCTCGAGACAGTTTGTTACTGTGGCTCGCTCACAGAGTGGCCAGGTTCTGCTGGCTTCTGGCTGTCATTGTTTTTCTTGTTGATGTTACTACAGTGACATGCCCGTGCGGGGAGGCATGGGCGGTTGTACCCAGCAGTGACAGGGAGAGCTGAGCTCTCCCTCTGTCGCCAATCCCAGCATTGCTACGGTGCAATCGGCACAGCCTAGGTGCACAAGTGCAGCGTGCAAAACTGCCCTCTCCCGGGAGACCCTTTTGGTTACGACAATCTGACAGCCCACTGCGATGGAGGCCGCTCATGTGGCCCACTCACTAGCCGGGTTGCCCATCGCTGGTCTGGAACCACTGACCGCATTTTCTTAAAGGAAATCCTATTATTATTTTAAAATAAATAATTTTGTACCAAATGATGTCTCCGCGTAGGGAGCTGAGATACTGAATCCTACAGCTCCCCCTAGCAATATGTTGAAAGCTTCAGGATTAACAATCTCTCTGTCCAAAGTCAATAGCTGCTTGGTAGGGGTGTCACCCAATGCTGCAGCATTAGGGCGGATCTACACTAGAAGCCTTTGCCAGTAGAATGTTCCTTAGGGACGTGATTTTTTTTTTTTTTTCCTTTTAGTGACGTGTCTGTACCAACAAAAGCCCTGGGGTAACAATTGTTACACCAGCCAAAAAGGCTTTGACGGTATAGCTTCCTTTCTCTGGGGCTCTGGCCTAAGGAAGCTATACTAGCAAAAGCATTCTCTTGGCGGTACAAGTTGCATCTGGGCTAGGAGGGTACGCTGGTGCAGTGTGGTAAACCTTTGCTCAGTCGTTTAATGTCACGCTCTCGTATTACTAAAAACATCAAATGCCTGGGAATACGGATTCTTAGTTACTTGCATTTCAAATCCTCTTTTATTGTGACGTATAGCAGAGGACTTAAAGGTTGTCCCAAGCGGGCTCAGGCTGCAGAGCTGTTTCGTTGCCATGTAAACTTCTTGGCTTTGGTGACACCCCAAGTTTTGGGACCCACCCAGTGTCCTAGACCCAGGCTTCTGCCCAAACCCAGGCGTCTATACACTAGTGAAACAGCTGTGCAGGCTGAATCCCAGGAGCCCAGCTGCAGGGTAACACTCCTGTAGTCCTAGGCTAAGGAGGGGGGTTCGTGGGTTACAGATTGTTGTACAGTTTGAATCTCTTTAGTCCAGCACTCTTGGGATCTGACTGGTGCTGAGCCAGCAAATTTGCCGGACCATGGGAGGTCAGTATTGTCTGGCAGCATCATTGCTTCGTTAGGGGTAACTGAGCTAAAGAACAGCCCAGAACACTGCGAGCCAGGCCTGGTGGCTGTAAACAAACTTTATGGGACCGTGGGAAACTTGGCCACGCCCACAAGTGGGCATCCAACTCACTCAGAGCATGCCAGACCATGGGTGTTGCCGGACTAAAGAGGTTCAACCTGTACAGTAATAGGCCATAAATCTCTGGGAGCGACATGTCTACAGCAACACTGCAGATCCTTATTTCCATTGTCACGTGGGTCCTGTAGGGACGGCAGTCTCTCCTCCTCCAGCGTAGTGTGCTGGTGAGCCAAGTGGTAGCTGGAGAGGGCGCGCTCGGACGCTGTGCGGATAACATTCCCAAGGAGCAGCAGGAGGAAAATCTGACTTGTTTCAAGTAGGGAAAATAGGAAAAGCCCTCCCCACTCCGCAACGTACGAATGTAAGCTACAACTAACGAGCAGAGTCTCACGTAATACGCACCCCTGCCCTGGTGGCGAAATATCCATTAGCAATTACTCCCGTCCTGGTCTCTCTGAAAGCAAAGCCCTTTTTCAGCAGACAGCAAACGCTGCAAGTGGTGCAGTCTGGAGGGAGTTGGAGGATGCTAATCCCCTTTCCAGAAAGAGGAGAAAGGAGAAACCAGTCCCATTTGAGGAGAGCAGCCCATCTCCTACCAGCCCGTCGCAGGTAGTTCTCGTGTAGTTCCTCAGCCCGGGGCAGCCTAAGCAAGCGCCTTGCCCTGAAGCCCCAGTTACTCGCACAGGTGTCTGGTCTGGGTCAACCGCTGGATGGCAGCCTGAAGGGAGCAAACTCGAAAACTGCGCGTAGCAGTTTCCTGAATGGTTCCTGCCTGAAGCTCTGGGCAGAGGAAATGTCTGTGATTCCCGGCTGTCCGTCGTTCTGGTTGTGGAACCCAGACTCTGCTCAGGCTCTGTGCTAGCAAACGAGGCGGACGGGTTTGCTGTTTCTCTCCTTCCCTCACATCCCTCTAACTCCGTCCCTCCTCCAGCTTAACATTGTGCTTCGCAGGAGCTGTGCGTGTGTGTTCACTGCCCTTCGCTAGGGCTTGTGCTTAGTTCCCTGTGATCTCGCCGGGTGCTCACTGGAGAGACAGACGCATGAGGTGGGAAGAGTCCCTTTGTTTTTCTTCCTGCCTGCCTGAGTTGTAAACCAGCGAACAGGCCCACGGAGAAGATGGGGAAAGGGAGCAACTGCTCTGGGACCTGCCAATTCAAAAGGGCCCGGGGCTCTGACTGCCTCCAGTCTGCTCTGGACCCTTTAAATTGCTCCTGGAGCCCCGCACAGTGTGCTCCAGGCACTGAGTCAGCACTGAGGGCTGCCTGGAGGAGGTACCGGTGGGGTGTGCTCCTGGCACCCTGGAAGGGCTGGCTGCAGGAAACTAGTTCCACCCCTTCTGCTGGAAGTCCCGCCCCTTCCAGGGGCACTGAGCAGGTCTTCCCGCCTTGCCCAGGGGCCCAGTGAGTAGCTCAGCCCCACTGCCAGCAAACACGGCGACTCCAGCCTGAGCTCGACAATTTTGCCTGGCAGTTGGGTGAGGAAGGAAACCAATTTGTTTTGGAAGAGGTCATCGGAGGCTTCTTAGCCAGGAGGAGGCTGGCTTCAAGGAAACTCGCAGCTCCCATTCTCTTGCTTTCAGCCAGTGCGTCCCTTCCAGTGCTCCAAGCCCCCACGGCCTGTCATCTCACCAGATGTGTGGCCGCGTGTTGTGACACTGACCCTTTCTATTTCCTGTGCTCAGTCAGGGGCATTGAGCAGAATGTGTAGAAGTTGTTTGTTTGACACCTGTGCCAGTGTCACTGCGACTTAGCAGTAGCAGCCTTTAAATCAATAACAATAACCCTCTCTTGCCTACCCATGGCTCCCTACTTCCATTGCTTGGGCCCTAGATTTCACCTTTGCGTGTTGTGACACTGACCCTTTCTATTTCCTGTGCTCAGTCAGGGGCATTGAGCAGAATGTGTAGAAGTTGTTTGTTTGACACCTGTGCGAGTGACACAGCGGCTTAGCGGTAGCAGCTTTTAAATCAACAATAATAACCCTTCCCTGCCTACCCATGGCTCCCTACTTACATTGCTTGGGCCCTAGATTTCACCTTTGCCGAGGAGTGAAATACTCACATAAATACAACCAGCTGTAATAATGGAGCAGGTGAGAGCCTGGCAGGAAGGCTTACTCGGTGTCCTGCTCAAAGCATCATATTATTATTTGTTGCATACAGAACTGTTCATTCCTAAGATTTCCCCCAAAGACTTACCAGCCATAGGTACAGGTCTCCCTTCCTTATCCACTGAAATACTGCAGCTCAGAGATTGCTGCATGTGTAAAACAGCAGTGCTATACCTAGAAGAGTCTAGGCCCATTATAAAGCACCCCTTTAAAAAAAAAAAAATTATAAGTACCCCCCGTACCTACAGTTTTCAGACACACACAATTTTTTTCTACCATTGCAACACATTTGTTTAAACAACATAATTGTAGCCAGGCGGGCGATGACATTTTTGGGTGTAAAAAGTACACAAATAATAAAGCACTGTAAAACTTAAAACAAAAATTCCGTTTTCTCCAAATTTCCATTGTGTTGACTTACCCCCCTCTCGAGTACCCCTACGGAGACTGATACCTCTGGCTGAGAAACACTGCTCTAGGACATGAAGAAAGGAAACGTGAAATGTCCACTTAAAATAGCAGAGTCTAGGTCAGAGTCTTGGTAGCAGCATCTACCAAGTTTTGTATTTGGTTAGGACTCTCCTAGTTTTAAGGAGTTCTCACAGAGCCTTGTTCTTCTCTCTGAACTAAGCTGTGATTTTGTTTCTTCCTTCCAGTTCCCCTTTGTCTTACAAATCAGAAAGGGTATGTCTACACTACCCCGCTAGTTCGAACTAGGAGGGTAATGTAGGCATACCGCACTTGCAAATGAAGCCCGGGATTTGAATTTCCCGGGCTTCATTTGCCTAAGCGGAGAGCC